AAGAGGGGCAGGCTACCAGTACTGATGACACAAAAGAAATGTTCACTTCTTGCTTCTTTGYCTTGACATATTTTAAACACACTGGACACTTTACAATGGAGAAATAATTTAAACAGTCAAAGCTCACGTCTGTCCTAGAGATAACACATTGATTTTTCTTCCGTGTACAGATTTCTGTGACAAGTAAGAAATGCCTTATTATAGGACCAGTGAAAATCTACTTCTGTTTTCATTTTCTAAACCGAAAGAAATGTGGAAATATCATGAGCAGTAAACGTTCTGGATTTTAAAATTGAAAGTTTGAAGAATTTCTGTAGCAGAGAGCCTAACTCCTCTCTAATGTGGTAGTTTATGGCTGAATAGTTGGTATAACAAGACATAGTTAAGTGCCTGCTTGCCTGCACTCACAAAAGGAGATTCTTTCACCTCATTGCCTACACTTCCTGCCTGGGGTGACCATTCTGCTAAATTTTGTATTGTGGCAGATCATTTAGTGAATCTTGATTTTCTGCCCAGTAAATATGCTTTTTCCCTGGAGTAGTGAGAAAGGAGGAGTCTGAGAAGGGTTTGTATTATTATAGTTTCCTGTATGTTTGGGGACAGCAACAAGAAGGATGTTGTCAAAATCTGTTTTGTGGACAGAGTAGCACCTTGGACAGAGGAGCTTTCACAACCCCAAAGTCGAGTTCATCAGAGGAGTGAAGTAGTAGAAGTGTGCAGGTAAAAATGCAGCAGTGTTTGTTCAGTTGAGTATAAGACTTTCCATTTTGTTAACAAGACAGTGAAATACTGTGTGTAAGCAGATTGGTTTGGCTTTGTTTCAACTGCTTCCTAGCCTGGCTTTTGTGCAAAATTAAATCTGTTGTTTCTCTTTTACTTGTGTTCAGCTTTGGTGCATAGCACTGCTTGCTAGAAACATCACTTCTGTTTCCTTGCTGTTGTATTAATGTGTGAGTGCAGTTCGATATAATTTTAGTTCTTTAGTATTTACTCTGCCTTTTAATCTTATTTGCAAAAGAAGATGCAAAATCAACCTGAACTTTATTTTATCTTGAAATTCTAAATCAAAACTTCTTTGTCAGAAATGTTTTGCTCTGTGAGCTTGTATATGGAAGTCAGTTGTTAATTTAATTATCTCACAGTTGGAAATAAAAAAGAAGCTACAGGATCTTCCAAAATTCTGAAATGAAGTGGAGGATGATGATAATTCTTTTTGAAGGTGCATAAGGCTTTATACATTACTTAGTAGCACTTGAAAAAAAAGTTCTGTTTCATAATATTAATACACAGTGATGTTTGAGCCTACGGAATACAAAATTTTTCTTTTGTTTGAAACTAAGCAGCTTTACTTTTTCATACACTTTTGAGATATCCAGAGGAACAAAAAAAAAGATAAATATGCTTAAGTGTGTTAAGATTTGTAATTTCAAAGGCCGTATAGTGTATGTGTATATATGTATTGTSATTGAAGTTTTTTCAAAACGTATACTTTTATATGTGTCCCAGGTAATAATTAATGCTAATTGTATTAGTATGTTGTGCATTATCCATCAACCCTCAAACAGCTAATAGACTTTSGTTTCCTCACAAATATTTCCTGCTCCTCTGAGGGGGAGAGAAGGTTCTGTACGTAATAAAGGCATTACAATAAAATGAGTTTTGAGAAGTCTTGAAAGTTAACATTACATGTACTTAGAATTAATTTGAGAACACAATTTCTGATAACTGCTTGGGAGTTTTAGATAAACACTAGCTTGTTTTGTATTTTGATATTGTTGAAGAATAGCTACAAAGCAAAATTCTACTGCTGCTCTTTCCTGGCGTAATTTAGTATATTCAAAGTGTGTTGACTTTTCAAGTGGTTTTTATTGAAGACTTTAGGTTGGGAAAAATAATAGCAAGGTTACATTTGCAGCTGTCATTTTAAAAGGTATAGGCAACATTCTACGCATAGAAAGCAGAGGCTGATGAAACTTCAAGTCTTAGCATGTTGGGTAAACTGTTGTGGGGTTGGACTAGATAACCTTTAAAGGTCCCTTCCAACTCAAATTAGTTTGTTATGATTCTATGTTCTCTTGGCCAAGACAGTTATCTTTTCCTTACTTTTYATGATCAATTGTTTGAGCAGAAAGGAGGAAGTCCTTGTGTCACAAATGATGGTTCTATTTTTACTTCCTCACAGCTTTTTAAATAATACTTACTCTAAATTGGCTTAAATATGTCAAGAACTCTGCATCTCATGGAATAGGGCACATTTGGCTAGGCAGCTATCTTGTATCCTTCTGAGTGGGCCATCCTATTTGTAAGCTAGCTGGTTTATGTATTACTAACTTCAGACTTCACCGATGCATCATTCTGGCTTTCCCTGGTGAAAGATGAGCGCTGCTCTCTGCATGCAGTAATTTGTRCAGCACACTTATGTATGTCAGTGATCCATCTGCTTGATCTTGATGTTTTGAAATGGGTGAATATTTGCTAAGGAGAAGAGAGCAGACAGGCTTCTTCATGGAACAGATTAAATTCAAGTAGTTCTGTGATGGAAGGCTGAAATTACTCCTGTGTGTGCATATGTGTCCAGAGGTACTAATTTTACATCAAAKCAACTTGTCTTATGCTGTACTAGTAAAATTTCTTTCAGTGTAGGGGGGAAAATAAAATGCCAGCTCTTACTCTGCCATAAGGTATTAATTTAACAGTATTGAACTCCAGTTTATTTTAGGCATTTGGAAATGTGACAGTGGAGAGRAAATGACATAACACAGAGCCCTGATAAGTAAGGGGCTTGTGGGATGTATATTTCATGTTTGCTTATATTGCTTAGCATGAGCACTTTCTAGCAGTAATTATCTAGATATATTTTAGTTTAGACTATTTAGGTGTATCTTTGGTCAGTTGGTCAGGTGTAGAACTTCCTCTATATATATGGTTTATACATATATAACATAGGTGTTTTTCAGACTTGTCACAGCTGCTTTAAGAACTGGTAGATACACTTCACAAGAGATGCTAARCTTTCCCAAATTGAAGCAAGTTGAAATCTTTATTGTCACCTATGTGAATCAAATTAGTATGCAAGAGAACTTGGTTGGAAGYCAGCTGTTCTGGGAAACTCAGAAATCTCTTGAGTGCAACCCCTCATTAAAAGGAATAACAAATTTTGATTTGTCTTACCTGTTGAGCCATCTGCTGGTATGAATTAATTGAAGCTGCCAATTCAGAGAGGTAAAATATGCACAATGAATCAAACAGACATTGTTGGCAAAAGTTAAAGCAGCTTCATAACATGTCAGAGCAGCAGCTAATAAAGTCTTCTCAGTTATTTGTAATTGACAATTTTAAGAAGCTTGAATAAGTACAGAGGTGAGGGCAGAGGAGGAATTGTAATTCATCTATGGTGATGAAGGTTGAACTCTTCACATCTTCATTAGAATTATTTATAAGACATTCTTACAAGAAGAGGAARAGCTTGATATGTGAATAGAAAATAGTGCTGATTTCTAATGGTTATTTAAAACTAGCTGTAATTGTTTGCTCAAGTACATGTTGCTTTAACACAGAAACTCACAAGTAGACCCTTAAATTATGAAGATAGTGATACAACTTAATTTTTATTTAACTTGTCTGTACTTAATTAGACTTTAAACTTCAGTTCTGGTCTTATTTCTGTCTTTCTCTCTGTCAAAATATATTTCATTTAAAATAGTCTTTTCATTCCATCAAGTAAAATCCCCTAGATACRTTAGAGTAAGCAGTCTTATATTTTCCAGTGTTAGTGAAATATGAGAATAAAGCTTACCTCTAAACTGAAGAGTTCATGTAACAGTCTAAGGGATGATATGTTAAGAAAATTCAAAATCAGTCAAAGTATTATTTTTCTGTTCTTTCCAGTGTTTATAGCGATAGTGGTTTTAATGTAGCTTTAATGTCATCTGTAAGATTATGGTTAGTTAGTKAGTTCTCTTTAAAGGGAAAATATCATTATGTTTAGCAGTGAAAATTACTGCCCTTGAACTTTTGTCTTTGTTATGTGCTTAAAAGCAAGTGTTTCGGCTCTCCCTCTATAGGAAAGAMTTGGGAAAGAATGTTGTTTGACACAAAATTGATAATGTGCTTCTTAGGGACCTGGGATTAACCTTAATTTTATAAGCTGTGAGTTTCAAGAATTTTCTAATGTCTATTACATACTAATCATACTGCAATTTAAAGGAAAATAGCCAACTGGCAAACCCCTGCTTTGTGTCCAAATTCAGCTCAGTTATTCTTTCAAACTGGAAAAACTGCACATGAAGTTTTCCTACTCTGAGACCTATGACTACAAATTTAAGTTTTTCAAGAAGGGGCTCTGGCAATAGTTGAGGTATTTACATTGTTCATATGCTGTAAGATTTAGTAGTTATCCAAGTTCCCTTTGGAGGGGAGAGAATAGGAGTGAATGGATCTGGATTGCAGGATTGTYTCTCTGTGCTATCCACATACACACACATGCAATGGGCTCACTCTTTGTCGCTTCTTTTTAAGTTTCTTGAGACCTGTGACAGAGAAAGTATTCAAAGAAACCAATTCATAAAAGCTGAGAAAACAGATTGGCCATACCCAGTGTGCTGTTTGTTATGAGAGAGTTCTGAATTTTAAGAGGAGCTTACTGTAAATTGAACTGTAACTTTAGAAAAACTCTGTTACTACTTTGGTTGTAGTTGAAAAACTGAAATTGTTTAAGGTGTTTAACTACTTCTTAGAACATCCTTTTAAAGATGGGTATAAGAGCCTATTTCAGAGAGCACAATTAGTGGCACAATTGCATTTATCAATAACTAGAAATAGAATTTGAAGCTGAGGCATGCACTTAAAACARATGGATGTTTTGGGCAAAACCTGCTGTATTTCCAAACTCCAATGAGCTCAGTCACCCTGTTAGGATATGGCTTTCTTCTTGCCCCAGGTGGTTTTTAATATGTAACTGTGATTAAAGACTGAGTGGTATCTTACTTCTGTCTCTCCAGGTGAAGATGGAGCAGGTAAAACTAGCTTAATAGGAAAAATTCAAGGAATAGAGGAGTACAAAAAAGGAAGAGGAATGGAGTATTTGTATTTAAATGTGCATGATGAAGACAGAGATGGTAAGTCTGTATTTGTAACAATATCTTAAACCAGTTTGAAAGCAATGGTTCARCCGTGTGTATTTGAAATGACAGTGGGATGTTTTTCTGTCTTTATRGTATGCAGGAGTCCAGCTTATGCCAGAAGTGATTTGTATCATAAGGAAATTTGTCTGTATAATTTCTTCAGTATATACCATGAATGACCACATAAGAGGTAGAGAAGGAGAGGAACCTGTCAAAGGAAAAAGCTGAAAAGACCAGGGAAGCAGACTTAGTTCCAATATTCTGAACAGATGTGTGTTCCTCAGGCCTAGAGGAGAAGGTGCCCAGGCTCCTGTCTGCCATTTCAATTACTGTGGCAAGTAGTTGTCCCGAACCTACAGAGAAACTTTTGTCTTACCGGCACACAATCTGCAAGACTACTGTCATTGATTGATGGGTAGGAAATTGTGCACAATGCTAAAGGACTAATGTWTTAAAAAAGCAAGCAAGAAAAGCCAAAAACTTGGGTGAAGGTATGGCTAGAAAATAAAAAGTATATTTAAAATCCTGTTTAATATCCCAATGAAGTTATGGAGTATGAATAAGGATATACTGGAAGCTTTGGAGAAAAATGGGAACTCTTGTGTATACTATAAAAAATGCCAAATATGTAGAAGGAGAACCAAAAGAAATTGGCCTTTTTTTTTTTTTTATTTGTCTGAAATCATCTGCTTTTCTCACATTCATGTCTGGGTATTGGTCTCAAAGATGACTTGGAACCAGATTTAAGAAAATYGGGAGTTTGATTTAAATGTCTTTCTCAGAACTTCTGTAACAGATAATAAAAATTCACCTGCAGGGAAAATGTAATTATATTAAGCCAACTAATTTTGAATCAACAGCTCTTCCTTAACTACTTTTGAGTGGCCAAATTMCATTCAATGCCCTAAGAGTTATCTAGACATGTCATATGGAGTTTTGAAGGGGAGATGGCAGTCCTTGAGAGCTGAGCAGGCCAAGAGCCGTGAAAAGATGGCTGCATTCACCCAATTCTGCTTTTCTAAGTTACATCTTGAAGAAAACATTTTCCTGCTCAAAAATGGTAACAGCAAGTTTGGAAGTGTTGAATGTTTTCCCTGGATCCACTCTTTCAGATAATGTATTTAAGATCTTCAGTTATCAGCCATTGAATATCAGGGTTTGAAAGGGGAGGAGCTTATCTCCCCAGAGGCTGCAGTTTGCTGTATCATTATGTGTGTTCAATGGACTGATAAAACATAATCTGCTTTTTTCCTTGTATTTTTCATGTCCAAAGAACATTCAATAGCTGTTTTGTAGCGGTGTGTTTGAAGTAAATCTCATTAAATGGTTTTCCTTTTTTTTTTTGTAGACCAAACAAGATGTAATGTATGGATTTTGGATGGTGACCTATATCACAAAGGTCTTCTTAAATTTGCAATGGAGGCAAGCTCTCTAAAGGACACTCTAGTTATGCTGGTAGTAGACATGTCTAGACCTTGGACTGCACTGGATTCTTTACAAAAATGGGCAAGTGTTGTAAGAGAACATATTGACAAGTTAAAAATTCCTCCTGAAGAAATGAAAGAAATGGAGCAAAAGAGTGAGTATTCTGCAAATATGTAGGAATCCATTTAAATATGCTTAATGCTTTCTGCACCATTTAATCTCTCCATTGCAGTCTTTTTCATTCTTTGGAAGTGTTATTTTAAAATTAGAGCTTACCAAGCAAGTTGAGCTTCAGATAAGTCTGAAGTAGCCATATGAAMAATACTAGTACTTCTTTCTAACAGAATAACAATGTAGGGGGGAAAAAACTTTCAGAATGAACACAGCTTAAATTACAGTCTTGCTTTTTATATATTTTTCTAGATATGATTGACTAAGAAAAAAAAATTCCAAGCATTCAATTTTTGGTTTATTTGTTTGAAGGCAGATCACTACATCAGCTTCCTAGTTATTCCTGTAGTTAGCCAGTTAGAKATTCTGGAACCTGTTCTGTGCCCAYCAAAAATGTAAGTGTTGAGATGAGTCACAGCAGCATGGCCATGTCTGAGCCCTTTCCACTTGAAGAGTTTTATCATAATTATTATTGACATTAATAAAGCTATATGTTTGTTGCTCTGTCAATGYCTTGTCTTTTCAGTTTTAAACATGCAGAACACAAAGATTTTGCAGGATTTCTTAAACTGACTGAGCTCACATTATAGCTCCATATTACTTTTGAGCAACCATTTGTATTTCCCTTAGGATAGTAAAGTGTGAGTCTTCCCCATTCATCTSTCCATGAATTACTACAAGGAAGAGCATTTGAGAAAGCTGAGTGTTGAGATCAGACTTAAAAGGAAAGTTTATTCATGCTCTTTGAAGTTACACTCTAACTGGTACACTCTTAAGCAATGAGTGCTTATGCTAATTTAGAGTTGCAGGTTGTAGCTGTGCTGTGATGAAGTGGAATGTAAGGTGACAGTTGTAGATACTTTGGAATGAGGCAAATGGGTATTAGTTGTTTTGTTTGTCCCTTTAAGAGAGAGATTCTTCTGAGGAAAGTATTATGCTTGAGTATCATATCTTCCACAAGAACTTGTTTAGGAGGGAGGAGTTGAGCTCTCTTGGATGTGTTTCTTGGTTTAGTTTCGGATGTTAATGCATGTGCTTTAAGCATCTCCTCAAACACTTTCAGGATAGGATTTTGCTGGATGAAAGCATGGATACAGTATCAAAGTATGTYATCAAACAATGTTATCAAAGATGTGTAGCTGATAGTTTTGCATCTTAACTGACTGAKTGAAGAGAAAAGTGAAACTCTACAAAATCCAGAAAATGTAAGCAATTAAATGAATCAAGAAAAAAACACCACTCCATTTAGTTTTGTCTGTTTTCATTTTCATCTGGTCTAATTCTTACAGGTATGAGTAGTCTGAACATTGGGTATAACGGATGCCCTGGACACAATCCAGATGTGACTGGAAGCTGGTTTTTGTTTTGATCCTGTTGTGATGTGACTTCATGCATTGCTAGGCGGGAAGGAGCTTGACAGTGCCAGAAGGGAGAGGGAATGTTGCTTGCCTGGCTTTTGGCTACGGGGTTCTTTTTGATTCTTGTGTCAGGYTCAGTACTCCCGAGAGCTGATTTAACTTGCTACCAGGACTGAAATCTACGGAGGGTTTGTGTGTGTAGTTTTCTGGAAGTGTGCTACTGTGTTTGTCTTCTGCTCTAGCAGCTTAACTCCACTCAAAGACAGACCCTGGGAGGACTAGAACTGGTACAGAAAGGCATTTGGGGATACATAGCAGATATGTGTGAAGGGTTGAAATAGCTCTTCTCTTCACTGAATTAATCTGTGTTTTATGAAATTGTGTTTCTAAGGAAGACCTGMGATAGTATTCCACAGTTTTGGAGCTGTGATATACTAAATCAATCCTCCATTTTACTACTTCCCCTGCTTGCATAAAGATTAGTATGTTATGATCATATAGTGGGAATTTTATGAATCCACTAAACCATTTATGCAATTATCCCAGAACAGGCAGGATACTGTACAGGAAAGACACTATAGAGTSACTAGTATATCATGGTGAGAACTCTGGGTTTCAAACACATTGAGTTAATTTGGGAAGCTCTCAGAAGCTGTTTGGACCGGAATTGAAGTAGTAGTATTCCCTGAATTAGAGCTTGAGTTGACAGGTTGAGATAACCTGTACATGTGCATTGTGTTATTGTGAGCTCCAAGATCTGCAGAAAAATTGAATAATCTTGACCTAACACAGTTTTTCCTCTAGGGTGTTGAAACAAATCTTACTCTGTTAATTGYGCAGATGCTTTTTAAGGTATGAACTCAGAAGGCTTCAGTCAGTTTAGTGAAGGTAGCAGTGGATTAACATAGATGTGAGGATGTTCTCAAGTAGTTCACTGCCCCTGTGCATGATGCAGCTGAGCTGCCTTGCTGCCTGACTTCTTTGCTGAATCAGGATGGAATAGCAGGCAGTGGTTTGTTTGGTAGAGCCTTGTTTCTGCTGTGTGGAACAGGACATGTGATGTGAAAGGTACAGACATTGTATGCCTCACATTGCATCTCTGACTGTAGAAATAGTAMGTGACTGTGTAATTAGAGGTTTGGGTATGTGCAGCAGAACATGACAAGGACTTGCAACAAGAATTAGAAAAAAGAAAGAATGTAACTTAACCTTGCTTGCTACATTTTAAAGTGATAATTTTGAAGCATACAAAATGTTTAATATGCTGTTTACTAATTATGAAGCTAGTTAATTACTAGTGTATGTGTATTCCATTATTTTTTATTACTACTATTGATGCATTGAGCAGAGAGTGAAGTGTGGACAAAGGATCTGTAGGTAAAATCTGGTGTGCAGTAGCAGCTAAACAGTTTGTGTAAGACTTAACTATTCTGACAAACTGTTTCATTAATTTTGCCCAGAAGAATGGAAGGGAACTTAAGTCCTTTAGGAAAGAGATCAAACAATAATCATTACTAGCAACTGCCTAGTGGTTTCACAATGTTGAAATAAAAATGCTTTCGTGTTGTTCTTGTGGACAGTTTTATTTGATCACAGAWATCTTATCTGATCTTTATCTTATCTGACAGTTTTTCTGGCTGCTGATCCAGCAKATCTAAGACTTGCTAGTTCTTCTTGTGCTGCACAGAGCCAACAACTAGTCAGGACTAGGTGCATGCTCTGTTTTTTCAACACCAAGATGCAGAAATACTATACAATCAACAGTGCTAAAGATCAATGGCAGTGGAAATCATTGTTGAAATAATAAAGTAGCTGATGTTTTAATGTAACTTTTTTTACTTTCAGTGGTAAGAGACTTCCAGGAATATATAGAACCAGGCGAGGATTTTCCAGCTTCTCCACAGAGAAGAAATACTTCATTACAGGAAGACAAAGATGACAGTGTGATTTTACCCCTGGGTGCAGATACACTAACATGTAACTTAGGCATTCCAGTAGTAGTAGTTTGTACAAAGGTTTGTTTCACCTTTTAGGTTTTTTACATATTTTATTTAAGTAACTCTGTCTATTGTGGTGCGGGGTGGGAAGTACATGGTTAAGTTATTCTGAATACCTCWCTTAAGAACTCTTTAAAAGTGTTTAATACTGAAGGCTGGATATCTTCTGGAACCCCTCATTTAATGCTATTTTTGAATTAGCTTTTCCTTTAGTTCTGCCAGTTTTCAAGGAATTAGGAAATACYTCACACCTCATTTTGCTCACAGAAATGAGCTAGTCAATAAACAACTAGAATTCCCCTTGATTTCCACAGTTCTCCATATTCTGAAAATAGTGTTTTGTTTTGGTTTTCTTTAATATTGCTGATATTTTTCTGAAGACGAACTTATTTGAGGATCATAGTTAGTGAAGTGCTGCACTATTTCCTCAGTTCTTAGGGTGATCTGTTTTGGTTTCAGTTTTAGATAAGTAACCATATTCGGAATGTAAAGAAAACAGTGGTGTGGTTCTGTAGCTATTTTTTATCTGGTTTTGTTATTTTTTTCCCCCCTGGCTCCTTAATTCTCATTGGCATTAAGCATACTGCACCATARTGCTGTATGGTCATACTCTGCTGGCCCCCAGGGAAGGCATAAACCTTTGGATACATATGCTGTTCCTCCTCTGAAATTCTAACCCTCTTCTTTGAACAGCACCTTTTCTCCCACCTGCTAGTTTTCTGTTATTCTTCTCCCCACCCCCACCCTATTTTTCTTCTTCTGCTTCCACATTCCTTGCTTTTGCCTCCGTTTGCAAAGAGCTAGTTAGTAACTGGATTAAAACCACTGTCGTTTAATACCAAGGTGTGTAAAAAAAGCATTGGGTGAAAAAATGGTGATGTCATTTAGTGGTAAGTTTTCAACAGACTGAGTTACTGCAGTGGAGTGGGGAAGGAAAGTGAATGAAAAGTTCCAATCACTTGAACTCTCAGGTTTCTGCTGACCACAGTACATGTGCATCCAGTTAAATATTATTAAAACCAAAAAGATTCAATTATGCTTCTAAAYTATCGTAGCAGGTTTTTGTTTTACKCTGCACTACCCCACCCCACTCCAGCTCCCTTTTCCCTTGTGAACTAGATGTGTAGCAGCTCTGCTATTTTAGGAGATAACTGAAAGCAATATATTAATTTTGTGTTTATTTTGACAGTGTGATGCCATCAGTGTTCTGGAAAAAGAGCATGACTACAGAGATGAACACTTTGACTTCATTCAGTCACATATCAGACGGTTTTGCTTACAATGTATCCTTTAACATTGTAAAAATGATATAATGACTYAATTCAATGTGTAATTATGACAAGTTTAAAAGAATAGCTGCATTTCTACCAAAGTAGGATGCAACTCTTCTACTGTAGCTGGCAGTCGGCTTCAGCTACCCCTATGAGCAATGTTGAATTAAACATTTCTGGTTTGGTTTTTTTTTACAGAGCTACATGTGTTTCTAGCATGTCCCCATACCCTGAAATTACCCTTTATTGCCTCCATTTCCATATTTAGGAGTCAGTTTGCAAAAAGCACATCTTAGCTGACAAGCTCCCTTAAATAACAACRAGATAATTCATTTAACTATGATCTTGCTCCAGATGCACATAAGGTGTGTTATTCATTTTGTYCCAAATTTGCAGTCTCCTCCATGTTCAATAATTCCACAGGATGAGGTTATGAGAGAASGAAAGAAGTGTGAATTGCTGTTGGCAAGGTCTACTGACTTCTTTTGTATTGTACAGAGACAATGTACAGAAGCTGTTGCTGTGCCATTATTATTTTTAAACTTCATTTCTGTAGAAGAAGTGTATAAAATACTGTCTTGTGTTGTTTAGTCAGCTAGACATGCTGAGATCTAGATTTTAGATGCCAATAACATGCCTACCTTGTGTCATTGTTTGTGMTGTGGTAAAGGGAAGTTTAAATGCTATTGGTGGGATAGCAGGTGACAGATGGAAAAATTGGTTCAAGAGCCAGAGACCTCAGTTGAAATGGCACTTCCTTCACAGGGCTTCCAAGAGCTAATTTTTCAAAATGGAATTATGGGTAATTGTAATAACTCCTGTGTGTGGAGGAAGAATGTAAAATATAAGTAGGGATTAGCATAAATGATTGCATATGCGATGTGCAGTTTGAAAATCCATTCTAAACTTCACTAAATAGGAATTAGACCCCATTATATAATGTCCTTGTAGAATCTGAATTGCAGCAATGTGGAAATAAATTAGGGAGTTTGGTATTTTTATAATCYCAAAGAAAAAATTGCTCTTTTATTAGTCCTGTGCATAACATGGGTTAATTTGATACTGAACCATGCTGGAATACTAAGCATTCTCTTGGTCTTTTAGTAACTGATATACAGTAAACTCATTTGCCTTTGTTTCCTTTAAAAGCAGATCACTGTATAATGTAAAAGCTTGTTCCCCTAATTAAAAAACCCAGATGGGAAAGTGGAGGATCTTTGGCATTTTTGAAGCTAGTAGTGTTAATGCTGCAATGACTGTATTGCAGGGTGCCATAATAAGAAGATTTARGAATACAGCATGAAAATTTTTGTTCTCTAAAAGCAGAAGACTGYGTTAAAGGCATCATAGTGAAACTGTTAGTACTGAGGGGCTCTGAAAGTGAGAAGAGCCTTTACTTCACTTGAAAATCAATAGCTGAGTTGGCCTAAAATGAATGCAGAAAGAAAGATTGATTTAAATTACTTAACAGCTTATTTTAAAATGAAGTGTTGAAAGTTATTTGACCTGTTTTGCTTTGGTTTTTTTATTCCCTTTCAAAATTCTGTAAAGTAGATGACCCTTTTTTGGTAGTTTATAATCTACTTTAGTATCTCTTATTAGCCACTGAACTAATTTTTCTTTAACAAATTTATTCAGATGGGGCAGCACTTATTTACACTTCAGTAAAAGAAAACAAAAACATTGATTTAGTGTATAAATATATAGTCCAGAAGTTGTACGGATTTCCTTTCAATGTTCCAGCTGTTGTTGTGGAAAAAGATGCAGTATTTATGTAAGTTATCTGCACTATTTTGTATGTGTGACTATGAAATGTATCTGTGCAGTACTGTAAAACCTTTTCTGGTTTATGCTTTTTGAAGTTCCYGTTAAGATTCTCACGAGTTGGAGTTTGGTGAATGCCAGAGGATTACAAACACTAACTGCTTCAAAGGGGAATGTTAAGCCCTGGTCCTCTTCTCTGATATGGTTGCCCAGTCTCTACCTGCTTGTGCTGATCAATAACCAGCTTGCACAGGAGAATGGGCAGTGTGACAGCTTTCCTGGCTTTCAGTTGTGTGCAATTCATGAGTGCACACAAGAATAGCCTGAAGCAGCAATAGGAGTTTAAGCCAAATAATCTTTTCTGTAGTCCTGCAGGTTGGGATAATGACAAGAAGATAGGAATATTGCAYGAGAACTTTCAGACACTAAAAGCAGATGACAATTTTGAAGATATCATAACAAAACCACCGGTCAGAAAGGTAAGCTGAGATGTCTTGGCRTTTTACTTCTTTGCCATTTATTTGCCTGTCAGTTTTTTGTCTGTTTCACTGAGACTATGCTTCCAGCTTATCATAAGTGTGAGGTACTGTATGGGGGGGATGTTCTTATTTTGTTCTTAAAGTTATTATTTAGTTAGCAAAAAAGATAATTATGTATTTTTGTTCTGTATAGCTCTTCTTCAGCTTAGACTTTTTTTTTCTGTCGCTGTTACATTGTTCAAGACTACAAATACACTTGTTTTGCTCTTAAGACATATTTGGTTTTGAAAAGCTTAAACCTGATTTACCTGTTTCTCGAGTTGAGTTGGAGTTTTTTAAGAATATTTCATTTTGCTCTGARTTGCTTATAACTTCATAATGCCTTCTGGTTTTTTTTGGAGTATTTAAAATAAGAAAGCTTGAGACAGTGTAAAATCAAAATGAAACATGTGAAAACAGCTTCTGCATATATTCAATGTGTTTTACCTTGAAACAAAAGGCCTTGACAGAAGTACCTGTAAGCCTATGTAAGGTTGTTGAACAAAACGCCAGCAGYAGTGGACTCCCATGCACAAAGATGTTATTGAAGGCAAATATTTCTATGTTTTTTTTTTCTAAAAAAGCTAAGATTTTTTGACTGTTCTTATTTTCAAGTGGGCATTATTTTAGCAGAGAAAACTAATACTATGTCCTTTCTTTAGGGAAAATATCAAGACATGTTGAATAGGTATCCAAGGAAAATATAACTGACAATTTATAATGCTTATAAACTTCAGGCCTGGATTATAAGCTTTTATATTGATATTTGCCACGCTTGTTTCGGCAAACTTTTGGATGAGCTTATTTGGAAGGAGAGTGCTTGCAATTTGATGCATAGAACTGGTATCTGAGRTGTCTGTGTCCAGGTCCTACACCAGTCTAATGCAACACAGGTGAAGAGTCATGTTTGCCATAATGCCATGTAGGTAATTTTAGAGTTACCTATAAAGTCATACTGAGGTGAGGCCTCAATAAATCAGCAGAGACATGGGCATGATGCAGAGTGTGTGCATCCGTGAGTGTTTCTTACTGATCCTGAGACCCCTGAATGTGCCTTGTAACCATTTACTTCATTCCTCTTTAACTGAACGCTTTAATGAATTTTTAAATGGGTCTTTCTGCAAATGTATCTACAGCTTTATGTCTAACAGGTCAAAGGAGTTAATGATACTTCTATTTTGCTTCTAATTAACTTAGCCTAAATGGAATTATGAGGTAGCCGTCTTAAATATGGAAAGTGTGAGATGCAATCATCACAGTATTTTATACATGTACCTCATTATTGAATGTTTTGGTCATTTTCACCAGCAGATAAAAAAGAAAATACCTTTCTGTCTGTCTAAATTATGCTATGTTTTTGTATTGCAGTTTGTTCATGAAAAAGAAATTGTAGCAGAGGATGACCAAGTGTTTCTTATGAAGCAGCAGGTAACWTTTTGTCTATAAAACAAGCAGCAAGAATTTAATTTAACAACATTCTAAATACAAATTTGGTGTTGTATTCTTAGTCACTGCAATATCTAACACTTCATGTGTATGTTTTTTTTCAGTCACAACTGGCAAAACAACCACCTACTGCTGCAGGAAGGCCAGTGGTTAGTAATAAAAAATTTAAATATTGTCATGTGAAAGTCATTAACTTTTATGTATTTAGAGAGTTGCTTGTATCTGCACTGTCAAGTATTGTTTTATTTAATTGTTTTAAACTACATAGTATTTGAAGTCTCATAGTGCTCTAAAATTACACTTCACAGCAAGTCACAACACCTTTGATTGACAGCAAGGGTTGAATGTCCTGACTTTTCATATGTTAGAATGCATTTATGGTCAGAGACACTACTGAGTAACAAGGATTTTCAATTTGTCATCAGGATGAAATTAAAATCTTCTTTAGTGCTTTATCTGCATTCAAGTTAATAGTTTTAAGAATGTTCTATAAGTGTGAAAACAGTCTGTACACAATAAACAAAATCTAATTCTGTATCATTTCAGTGGCATGAGATACTACATTTAAMAAACAAAAGCTTAGGATCTGTGAGAATAACAAAATGCTTCATTTTCATGTATCTTATACTTTGGGTTTGGTGGTTTGTTGTTTTTTGGTTTTGTTTTTTTTTAATAGGATGCCTCACCAAGGGTWCCTGGTGGATCTCCTAGGACACCAAATAGATCTGTAACATCGAATGTTGCCAGCGTTACACCTATYCCTACTGGGTCGAAAAAAATTGATCCCAATATGAAAGGTACTTTTGAGGGCAGAAATGCAGCTGAGGAAGTAAAATAATGGTTTTGTCTGCTTGTTTTTATACACTTATTTAGATTGATTAAAACAGTAAATCAGTATTTACTTAGAAAATTTTGTGTTGTGGTTTCTCTTCCCTTCTTCCCCTTGTAGCTGGAGCTACATCTGAAGGAGTCCTGGCTAACTTCTTCAATAGTCTTCTGAGCAAGAAAACTGGTTCTCCTGGTGGCCCTGGTGGTGTTGGTGGCAGTCCAGGAGGAGGTGGCACTGGAGGTGCTGGCAGCAACTTACCACCATCAGCAAAAAAGTCAGGTATGATAAGGATCGACTAAATCTAAATTGAGTGATGTTCAATTCCTGTTCTGTTACTATAGTTTATCAGAAGTATGAACACTACTATATTTAACTGAATGCTTTAARTATATGCTTTTATATTTTATGTGGCTTTTCATTTTTGTTTTCACAGCAGTTTAGTATTATCTTTTTATGGCTTTCAGAGGAGCAAAGAAAAAATTTTCACATAGTTGTTAAACATGAACCATGTTCACATGAGTTCCTTGTTTCTTCCTTTTGTTCCCAATATACCAATAAAATGGCTTATGCCATAAGCCTCTTTTAATCTTATTCAAATAGGTTGGGACTGAATTTCAAGTTGATTCTTTTTAACGATACTGTCAGTGTTAAAATAGCTTTGCATTTTCTCTTGCTAGTGCTCTCTGATGTAATGAGCACTTTGAATTTGGTGATAGACTGTAAAAATATTTACATATTTTCTTTTGACAGCTGTTTATATATGAGGTGGTTAACARTTATTATTAATCCAGAAGGGTTTAATAGTGACTGTGCTAAAGGGAGATGCAAGACTATTCTGGCATTTCTTGCTATTCCAATTTACAATATTTCTGTATTACCTATGTGCATGTGTACACAAACACCTTCCCTCCCTGTTTTCCCAGAGGTTAATATTGCTGCACTTAGGAGAGAATGCTGGTGTTTCATTGGTACTTCACACTTCCCAYTAACATTTTGTGTAAATTAAATCTAGTTTTTTTTTCACATGTGCACACCTCCCTTTTCTATGTGCAAAACTCAGTTGGCTAAGCAAAGTTTGAGTGCTTCCTAATGTGCTGTAGGCAAAGTCAGCAGTGCCAGTTTGAACAGCATATGGAGATTGTTCAAACAAATGCAGCTGATGCAATGTGAGGCACAGGRAGCACCCACTGAAAAATCCTCTGGGGAGTGGCTGGCAGCAGGTTTGGGTRATGCCAAGCAAACAGAGGCAGCACTCCAGAAAAGTGTTCTCTGTGGGGCTGTGGCAGAAACTTCAAGGACAGAATTTAATCATTAAGGAACAAAACAGTTCTCAGAAATTTCTGAATATGCAACCAATAAAGGGTTAGAGTATAGCCAGTTTAACATCAGAAAGRACTATGTTTTCAGGRAGTTGCCATAARTACAAATMAGTTTGGCTTAAATGCAGACTCTTYGTTTGCTGTCTTTTAAGTGATATTTATAGCACTCACTCTTCAAATCTGAAAATTGTCTGTTAAGACAGTAGCTTGGGGTTTGAGAATTACTTCTCCCTTTGCAGCTGTGTGAAATTCCTCTGTTAATTAGTTGGAAAGAAGCTGCTTTGATTCTGATACAGTATTATTTTTTGTTAGATGTTTTGAAAAGCAGCGTAGTACATMATTCCAAAATTACCTTTATGGGTAGCTCCTGTTAATTTCCATCTTCAGAAAGGATGCTGGGACACTSCTACAACTGCACATGTGTCAGAACATTCCTTTACAGATGCTTTGCATACTTATCGAGGTGTTGGAGTCTTACTACTGCACTGCCTGTTCCCATATTGTCTCCCTCATTCTTGCTATAGAACATTATGGGATAAAAACCTAGACTGAGGAGTAAGAATTAAAATGGTGGAGGGAAATGGTGGTTTTGAGCTTGAATTAGGTTAGAGTGTGGTTGCACAAATATTTGCCGTTCCAAGTTAAGGAGGAGATAAGTGGGTGAGGAGAGAAAGGGATTTGCTGTCTGCAGAGGTCTCTGTGCACCCATGAGCAGCAGTGTCATGTTTATGCTGACCAAGTACWCAAAACTGACTTTACTGGGCTTGGTGAAACCCCTGATTTTTATATTCAACATTATTTCAAATACAAATTATACAGAAAATTGTGAAGAAGTAGTAATAGCTACTAGTCTTAATAGACTTCTGTGTACTTCAACTCTTCATATACTGACAATAACATATAATTATGGAACTTGCTTTGAGAAATTGGAAATACAAAAGGATATTACTTTCTCTCTATTTCCTTCCTGTTTCTCTTGGGTTTTGCCCTTATACCTTTACTCTGCACCAAAAGCATGCAGGGACAATTACTAGGATTTGTCTGATTTGAGAATTTGAAGGGATTATAAGCTTTTCATAAATATGACTGAATGATACACATTTATTTTGTAGGTCAGAAGCCAGTTTTAACAGATGTTCAGGCAGAATTGGACAGAATTTCACGAAAACCTGAAATGGTCTCTCCTACATCATCTACATCTCCCACAGAAGGTGAAGCATCTTGAAGACACCAAATAAAACCAATTGTTCAGTTTTCTGGGATAATTCAAACTTGCCTCTGCCTCTTCCTTCAGTGACTGGAACTAAAGAACTGAAATATCTTTCAGAACACAAACCATTGATGTCTGTCTTTCTTTCATATGTGTTGCCCAGCTTTAYAAAAGGGAGCTGTACAGATGGAAAATGGTTATCACATTGTGTAGGAGCACTGCTCACAGTGCAAAAATAGTAAATTAATTTCTTTTTTTCTGGGTTTTGTTGAAAAGTCAGTGTAATTCTGTAAAATTGCAAGTAYGTCCACTTAAGTGATAGGGGTTGCTTAGAGCAGGAAAACTGATACACACCACAGGCACTTAATTTATATTGATTTCCCAATCTGTTAGGTAAGTTTAATACTATCTTAAATAGATTAACCTCTACAMGAGAGAACTACTGCTAGTTTTTGAAAGAGAAAAATAATTGCACAAATCTGTACCAACAACAAACTCCAGTTATATTCAACACTTCATTGGGAATATGGTTAAAAAAAAAATCTGTTTAATCTCCCCTGAAACTTACACTGCATTCAAAAACCCATGCAAAAATTCATTCCAAGTAAAAGACTAAATTAGCGGCCAGGGTTTTTTTTGTTTTTTTCCTCTTTGATTAATTTCAGACACTGAATAAAAGATGTATAAAGAAAAAGCAGAGGTTAAATGTACAGAATATCAGTATCCAGATTTGTCTATATATATATGGCTCAGCCTTAATGTCCCCCACTATGTTCCCCACACTACTTACGGTTTAAAATTGGTCATCAAAACTGTAATCAGTTAATAAAGTATTCTCTGCATTCAAATTTAAATAACTTTCATTGAAGCCGTGGTGTTCTTGTTTGTTTACAGTCAAATCCGAGAATGTGGTGTGAAACATCTTACAACATGCTTTTATATTTTTACCTCTCAGTGAATGACATCACTGGCAGATATTTAAATTTTCTTAAAACATTGTTTCTGGAAGGAAGGGGTTAAGTCTGCAGAGTTTGTTCCTAGAAGTGAAACTAGCTTATCTGACTTGGGTGGTTTGTGCTGCAATGTTTTCAAAGCATGCTAGTTAGACTACGGATCCTGCCGCTGGCTGCAGTGTGTTGTCTAAGTAGTAATTGAGCAAGGTTAGGACTTAAGCTTTTAGTACACAAATGCTGAGCATCACTTTTTTTCTCTCTGAAATTTGTGGTTACTTTCTACTTAGGCCTAGGAAATGTAAAAGGTATATACTGAACAAATGATTGCCAAGACACTTTAATGATTTCAGGTTTTCTAGGTTTTTTTTTAAATCAGTAAGTCTCATATTAATTTCTCTGATTGGTTAGAAATCTCTATATTTTKAACATGGTRRYACTCYTTTTCCTCASTTCCTGCATTCTRTATTGGTTCTAGYRAATTCACAGAATCATAGAATGGGTCAGGTTGGAAGGGACCACAGTGGGGTCATCTGGTCCAATTTCCCTGCTTAAGCAGGGYYATCCTAGGGCACATGGCACAGGATCATATCCAGATGGTACTTGAATATCTCCAGTGAGGGAGACACCACATCCTCTCTGGGCAACCTRTGCCAGTGCTTGGTCACCCRYGCAGYAAAGATGTTCTTCCTCAGGTTCAGCTGGAACTTCCTGTGCATCAGATTCTGCKCCTTGCCTCTTGTCCTATTGCTGRGCACCACCAAGTAGAGCCTGGCTCCATCCTCTTGGCAYGCCCSCCTTTAGATACTGGCAGACATTGATAAGGTCCCCACTCAGTCATTTCCTTGAGGCTGATCAGGCCCACTTCCTCAGCCTTTCCTTTTGAGAGTGATGCTCCAGTCCATCATCTTTGTTGCCCTCTATGGGATGTGAGCAAGGAGCTCCATGTCTCTGTTGTCCTGAGGAGCCAGAACTGGACACAACASTCCAGATATGGCCTCACTAGGGCTGCATAGAGGGGCAGGATCAGCTCCCTTGACCTGAGTTACCTCCATATTTTAAAAATACCTAAATTTATTCAAGAACAACATATGTTTTGTTGTGCACTGAACTCACTTGAGMACACTTGTTAAAAAAGACTCAGAAGATTGAATTGTGGACTGACTAGTTTCAGTAGATATTCTTAAGTGCAGTCCTTAAAATTTTGCTTATGGCAACAATCCAGTAAAGGTGACACATGGGGAAATGCATGACTTGCTGATGAACAGCTAATATATAATATATATAATATAATAAATAGTCTGGAAGAAAAAAAATTGGCTTCTAATTATGGATGCATGGCATGCATCAGTATCAGAAGTGTCCTCTAGGTTCTGTATGTAAACTTGAAACTGAATTTGGAACATGCTTGAGAGAAAGGATCCTCTGATGATACAAGCTAGACCCATTCTCGCACAACTGCAGTATGTCGTTAGGGTGAAACTTTGGATTTTGGGGCAATATTTTAAACTAGTGGATACTGTCCAGGTTTTTGAAAGACAACTTTAGCTCCTGCAATCTCTAAGTTCATTTGAGCATCTGTCAAAGCACAAAACCCTTTTTGAAGCTGGAGAATCGGCTGCATAATACATTAATAGCTAATATACCACATGACCTTATTTGGGGAGTCTGAGATAAGGGGGAAACCTGACTAATGACTCATAATTTCACTTCTTAAAACAGATGCCACTTCTGTGTATTTAAAGCATTTAAATGTGTTTTTCCCTAAACCTTTGGAGTTTTTTGGTTGTTTGTTTTTTCAATTATTATTTACAAACTATTATTTATAAAAAGACTGTGTCCTACCATTTTTCATTCTACAAGACTAAAGTAGCCTGCTTCCCTCCCTAAAATTCAAATTCTCTTAATGCTGCTGTCACTACCTATCTGCAGCCTGCTTGTGCTGCTAGGAGGAAAAATTTACTACAAAAGGAAAATATCTGAGAATGTTTCTGTGGTATCTGATGTCTTTGGCTTCTTGTTTTCCCCTGATAAGACCARGATTCCTGGGCTGGTTGCTTTGTCCTCTTGAGCTGCAGTTCCCCCAACTACTGCTTTGGTGAGAGTAGACAATTAAGATGGGATTTACCACTACTACCATGCAAAACTAGTCTCTGTGACAAATGGCCCTTTTCACAAAGGGTAGTGCCAGTAAACCCTATTTCCTGTTATTCTTTCACCATCAAGTCAGGCACCAAACTAAACAAACTGGATAAAACACTGAAGCTAATTTGTCGAGGATACTTTCTTGCTCTAGGCTGAGGTTTAGGATTACCCCAATTTTTAAAAGAGTACTAGCATGAATTATTAATTATTATTTTGCTTCTAATCCTTCTGTGCCTTTAGTGCTATTGGGTATAAAGTTTAGACTAGCACATAAGATGCGGAAAGCAAAGAGGTAATACAAGAACTACAGAGCACAATTTTAATAACAATACTTTTAAAATGCTTCTCAATATGAACACTGAAAAAGTGCTACAATAGAAATCCAGAAATTCTTTTAGACTTTCAGGGTTAGTTCTGTGTAGACAAACTGCTGATTAGCCTGAAACTAAACTGTTTCAGGGGAATTTTGTAAATCTTCTCTTCCTCCTTCTCTACCCTGTTCCTACATCAATTCTTTTGAGTATACTTGTTCTAATAAAGCGGCTCTGCAAATTTTAATCTTGAAACTTTTGAGTAAATGTCCACTTTATTTCCAGAGAGGTCATATTTTTCAGCTGAAAATTACAATCTCTGAAATGTACACATGGCTTTTAGGTTTTATGGACTTGCTACTATATTGACATTAAATCTTTAGTGATACTTCTGAAATGCGAGAATTGCCGCCTCTTGGGCTGCAGTCTCTTGTTGGGGAGCAGACAGTTTGCAGTAGGACACCTGCAGCAGCAGAGCTGTTGCCTATGGAATACCTCATGGCTTAATGCTTCTCTGTGCCATGCAGAAAACCACTGAGAAGAGTTGGCTTAAGCTTGCATTTGGGAAATGTGGGGATTTCATCTCTAGTGCCATACAGGATACCTAGTAATAGCTGTTAAAAATGCTAATTCTTCATCTTCAGCTGTTTAAAAATCAAGCCTTCAAGCATATTTAGTATTGTGTCAGGGTTTATGAAGTTCGGTTTTAATACTGAGCCCAAAAGAAGAGCCCCAAGAGCTAAAGAAGGTGCAGCAGATGCATCACATTCAAGTCTTCTCTGATCTCATTGTTTCAGTACTCGGAATATTCAATTTGCTAGATAATCATCTTGTATTTACTTCATATAATACATGGGGATAGTCATGAACAGAAGCTGTTGAGATGCCCATGTGACATCAAAATGAAGGAGGGAGATGTGCCTCTGACAGGCTGTCTTTAGTGGAAATCCCTGGGTTGTACAGKAACACACACCTCTTCCTCACCACCCTTCCGATGAAACTAAGTCTGTCTCCTTCAGTGGTTTGGGCTTTTAAGCTGCTTTCCCATTCCTCTATTTCCTTCTCATTTTCTTTCTGACAAGTGAAAAACCCCTACATGTGCTTATGAAAGTGGGAAAAGGAGAACATGGATTCGTGAGGCAGTGCTGCCAATTCTGAGTGTGAGATGCAGGCTTTAGTGTCATGCTGTAACATGGCACACGTAGAGTGCCAAAGTGCCACTGGGGCTCACTTGATGAAAACAGTGATGCAGCTGYGACCTCAATCCCCCTTGGTGCAGTAGCTGGCATTTACTCAACTGCTTTAAGGAGCTCCAGTCACACTTTTGGAAAGTATTTCAGCATTGGGGGCAAGAMGTGGCAACTGTCATAAAGATATACTGTGTACACTGCAATCTCCCCTAATGAGAGGGCTTTCTCAGTCGGTATTGCTTTTTGGTCACTATGGAGGGTGTCTTGGAGATGTAATGAGGGAGAAAACTAGGTCACTCATCACTAATCTGCTTCCACTGATGTCCCACTCTATGCCTGGCTGACTGGAGATGTTACCACAGCTTAGCATCTAACTGCAGGGTTGCTCCTTGGCCACCATGTCCTGCCTTTAGCTCTGCTCCTGCCATTCCAGCAGAGCCTATGGCAGGGTAAGAGACTTCTCTTTTTTGAAAACTGCCAGGTGYAGCACATAAACAAAAGGAATTTTTTGCTGTAGATCACACCACAGCCAGAAGGTGCTGTTATTTGCATTAACAGGAGTTTCATTTATTGTAACTGTTGTTTTGATACCCTCTTTAAAAGAAAGTTACTGTACTTGAAAGTTAATGATGATAAAAGTGTGAAGAACACTTGCTGTATCTCTGTGAAGCATTTACAACTTAGTGCTTTAAGTATTTTCAAGATATCAGTGCTACTGTCCGGTTTTGATTTCTACTTTGTCACATGGCCTTACAGATCCCTAGCTTTTCTTCATCTCGTATAAATAAATAAATAAATAAATAAATAAATAAATAAATAAATAAATAAATAGATCGACCTCAATAAGCTAGGCTTTAAATGGCAAGCTAACCTTTATCATTCATGCATCATTGACATGTATTTCCTGGAGAGGGCCTGAACAGGAAAAACAACTTAAAGACAGTGGAAGCTAGAAAGAGGTTGCAATCTATTTCATCTTTTGTRGACTTGTTTTGTGTTTCTGTGACTCCTTGAAAAGCAGCCTGTCCTCAAGACAGTTGTCTTCAGAATTAACATCTGTGTTCATAATCTAGCAATGCTGCATGAGGACATTCTGAAGACTCATAAGGGAGCAGCTACAAAATAACCTTGGATGCTACCAAACACCTTAAAAGAGCTGACAATTGCTTCTATCTCAGTTAAGTTGTGCCCTCATCAGACCACAGTATAGCCGAGATACATGCTTTGGAGTTATTCAGCCAGTTGTGAAATATTACCAAGGAAGAAAAGAAAATGAGAAGGAAATTTCCTTCAGAAGACAGATGTAATCTTGTTTATAATATACTAGTGTGATAAAAGGTAGTGAGGGCACTGGGAACTTACAAGCAGTAACAGCAAATGTTCCTGACTACACCAGCCTGCTCAGTCCTGTAGTCTGGGATGCTGCCAACAGAGCTATGTTAGAGTCATCCCAATCCCGGGTAGAAGCTTGGGCACACCCGTGGTTATACCTCATTTGTTTTAGCGGAAACTCCCATGCCTTGGGAATCATATGACTTGCCTCCCAAGCCAGCTCCTGAAGTAAAGCATTGTTTATGGCACAGACAAGTCTGTATGATCCTGCCTAGGGACACTGTATGTTGCACTGGCTTGTGTTGTCTCACCAGGAGAAGTCAGGCACATGGCCTGCAGATCCACACTCAGCGTGGAGTGTGGCCCAGCTRCTTTTGTCTGGCCTGTACTTCTGCATCTGTCCAGATAACAGGGTCCCTTGGCAGGGTTAAAAATAGCTCCAACTTCATGGGGCTGTGTAGCACACACTCTCCCTCTACACTGTGCAGTTCTCAAAGAGAGGCAATGTCCAAACAACTTGGTCTGTTCCCTAAGCAGGGAATCAGTTCCTATACAGCTAATGTTAAGAAAGCACATCACCTTTTCCGTCCAGAGCAATCTTCTTTTTCTTTGAACTTAAACAAGAGAAATATAGCTGAACTTGAATATGAAGGACTATAATAACTCAGTAAACAATACATCAATAACATAGAAAGGAACATAACACACCTTTGCTTAAATACAACAGGTTCAATCTACTCTTAGTAGTAACCAAAAGCTATAGGTTCTTTTAAAAGCTGATCTGAGCAGCGTATGGGAGTGTATTAGCTGAGGCTTGGGGATATGAGTGTTTTCTCTCATTAACAAGGAATGACTTTAATGACAGTGATTCTTCCCCTATATTTGGCACTGGTGAGGCCGCACCTTGAGGTGCRYAGTCWGAGGCCTTTCARTTCAGGAAGGACATTGAGGTGCTGAAATGAGCCCAGAAKAGGGCAGTGGAGCTGGTGAAGGGCCTGGAGGGCAAGYCCTGTGAGGAGCAACCCAAAGAGCTGGGGTTGTTTAGCTGGGAGAAGAGGASGCTTGGCTTSGGGGTGATCTTATTGCTCTCTAGARCTACCTGAAAGGAGGCTGTRAGCTGAGGGTGGGCTTTGGCCTCTTCTCTCAGACAACTCCTGAGGGGATGAGAGGACATAGTCTCAAGCTGCGTCAGGTGAAGTTCAGATTGGACATCAGGAAGAATTTCTTCACAGGATTGATTAGATATTGGGTAGGGCKGCCCAGCGAGGTGGTAGGGTCACCGCCCTGGAAAGTGTTTTAGGAAAGGCTGGACGTGGTGCTCAGTGCCAGGGCCTGGTTGACGTGGTAGTGTTTGGTTGGATTCAATGATCTCAGAGGGTTTTTCCAACCTAACTGATTCTGTGAATGTATGCAGGGAAAGCTTTGGGATTAAAACCCCCTTCTGATACCGCAATCTCCTGTAACAAGTGAATAATATTGTAAACTTTACCTGTTAAGCCCCGGTGAGAGCGCTGAGCACAGACCGGGCCCGAGGCAGTCCGGGCCGTCCCTCACAGGCCGCTCCCGCCCGCGGCCGCCAGGGAGCGCGCTGGCGCCCGCCGCAGGAAACGCCTTTGTCCCGCCGGGAGCAACCGCCGGGCGCAACTGCCGCCTTCCCGCGGCCCTCCCGCCCTTCCCGCTCCCTCCCCGCCCCGCACGCCGCCGCCGCCGCCGCCGGAAACGCCTTTGTCCCGCCGGGAGCAACCGCCGGGCGCAACTGCCGCCTTCCCGCGGCCCTCCCGCCCTTCCCGCTCCCTCCCCGCCCCGCACGCCGCCGCCGCCGCCGCCCTTTTGCTTTCGGTTTTCCGCAGCTGACCGCCGCCGGCTGGCCCGGCCATGAGCAACGGCGCCGTCTACAACGAGACCACGGAACCGGAGGCGAAGGCGGCCCGCCGCCTCCCCTTCGGCTTCACCCTAGAGCGCCTGTGGGGATGGCGGCTGCCGGTCAAGGTGCTCCAGACGGTGAGTGCCCTCCTCTCCTCCCTTCACCACGCGGGACGTGCCGGGCCTGGCGTGGAGGGAGCGCCCCTTGTGGAGAGGGTGCCCGGGGCGGGCAGAGACCGAGGGTGTCCCGGGGCTGAGCCATCCCCGGCTCTGGGATGGAAACGAGCGTGTTGTGATGACCTTCGGCTTTAGGACRGTCTCCCGCCGCTTAAAAATTAAASTTCACGGTGATCCAGCGCAGGCTGGGGAGACGGCCGGACACAGGCTTGGAGGGAATGGATTCTGCCTGTCGGAAAGATTCTGCCCTTCTCCGCTGGGAAGGTGTCCTGACTTGGGACGTGCCATGGGGTCACTAAAGTTATGCAAACTTGTAACTCAGGTGGAAAGCTGGCGTGGTTCATTATAATGCAGGTTCAAAGTGGTTTATGGTGGGGAAGTGACGGGACTGTTTCTCCTGCAAGTCCGGGCTGCAGGAGTAGGTGCTGACATCTGATGGTGCCGGCCTCGTGTGCCCGAGGCTCGGTGCTGCGGCCGCAGTGATCCAGCTGCCTGCTGGCCTTAAAAAMCACCCGCTCTGGCTTAAAATCAGAGGGAAGCCTCACAGGAAATGTGATGTTTTCTTCAGAGGGTCAGATTGGATGAAAACAGTAGGGAGAAGCCTTTGGTTGAACCTTATGACAGGGCAGTAGAACTGGGAAGGTCTTCCCTGAGCCGTGAGCTCCACACTTCCCTCTCCTGCTGCTCCTGCAGCTTGTTCTAAGCCTGTCACTCTGCACTGTCTGAACTTAAATCAAGGAGCTCATTTCTCCCATAATTTGTGGTGGAAAATTGCACCACATTCGTGTAATGATGGTGGCCCATTGCTTGAGGCATCACTTCATGTCAGGCAGCTCTGGGCCCACCAGGAAATAAAAGGTTTATAATCTGCTGGCTTTTTTACCACGTGAATTAAGGGGTTGGGCTCCTGGTGTGAGCTCCTGTTTGTTCTGTCCTTCATGATGGCCTCTTCCAAATGTACCTTATCCTGCTGATAAGGATGTGAGGAGCATCTTACTTAAGTACTGGCAGGGAGGGAGTGAAACCCATGGTGGTAAAGGGCAGCTGACTGTGAATGTGTGTCACCCTGCAGTCAGATTTATCATGCTTACAGGAACTGTAGGTGATTTCCAACCCTATCTTGTTACTTCACCGCTGCAGAAAAGAGCACATTTGGTTTTTAAGCCTCATTTCACACACAGTCAAAACCCTCAACCAGAAACATAATATTCTTCAGTGCTTGTTAAGGCTAGTGGTACCACTGCCAAAAATAAAGTGTTCTAAGTGTGTTTTAAAAAATCACACCCAAGAATGCTTTAAATAAATATAATAGAATATAAACTTCTGATTCATCTGCTGGAGATTATTAAGTAAGATCTGCTGACTTGTGTTCTCTGAGAAGCAGAACATGTATATAAGKAGGTTAATTGATTAATGAAAATAAAATAAGTGATTATGTAGTCAAATTTGCTGGTGTATCAAAGTCTATCAAAACTGTTTGATTATTTTAAATGATTTGTTAGTAGAAAAAACGAGAATAATTATCATTATCCTAAAAAGGACAAATAGCTACTTGATGTGCTGTTAAATAATTAGTAGTTTATGGCCTGCACCCATTTGTCAGTGARTGGAAAAAGAAAATGGAGTTATAGTTGTTCACCCTCCTAATTTCCAACTTCTTCCCTCTCTTTTTACAACTTTTATCAAAATGCACAGATCTTGAGTGCTTGCTCAAAACACTTAAACCACCAAAAGTTTCTGAAGGTGGAAGCCTCAGTCTCTGCAGTAAGAAAAAGATTCCTGTTTTGGGAAGGTGTTGATTTTTGGAAATGCCAGTGATAGTCATTAACATCTATTAGSTTTGTGTTACAATAGTGGTTGTTGCGGAGATTATGCCCCGATAATTGCTTGTGTGGACTGCTCAACAGGGCATTGCAAGCAGAAAGGGAGCTCTCTTCATTACAGAGGTGATTATGGATTTTATAACATACTTTAAATCACCTGGTGGAAACTGGCTTCTAGACCTACTTTTCTTCAGATGAATGATGGYATACATTGTAACTTTAGCCAGTCCTTTTGAGCAAATGAAACAAGGAAAATGTGACTGCTGAAAGGATGCTGGGAGGCATGTTGCTGCACAGGTTTCTAGAGGGTTGTTTGGGTTTTTTTTTAGAATAAGTGTAATATTCTTGTTAGTCTATGAGTGGCTCAAATTCTGCACAAAGTTAAATGGCACAGTGTATATTGAGCCAAGACAGAAATAGAAACGACTTCTTACCTAAAGCAGGAAGAGTTGTCACAATTATTGTTTAATCAAAATGCCCTGKCTGGAAAGGAAAATTGTAATTCAGGCTTAAATATCAGCTCCTTTTTGAGCTGTTCATGTCCAATAGTAGCCCCAGTTGTGCACTTAATAGAGASTTAATATGTGCTCCCATCTGAACTAGAAGATTTTGTACTGGGAATCCCAGTGCTGAGCATCTTCACAGGCTCACTGGCAAATTCAATAATCTGCTCTATTTTCATAGCATTCTCTTATAGCATTTCACTTGTTAAATGTTCTTTACAAACTTGACACTTGTTTAGAAACTGTCAACAGTAATGTCAATATCAATGAATAATTTCTTGCTGGTAAGAGACAGATGAAGATGTTTAATTTCTGGTGTACGTGCAGACAGATAGAACTAACAGCAAAATTTAAAAAATCAAAAGGAACTGCTACTCCAACAATGCTTTTGGTGCTTAAAACTAATATTTTTTTTTGTACTAATAAGACAACAGAAGAGTCCCCTTTTTTTCTGATAATGATATCAAAGAGCTAGTTAAGAAACCCAAGCAGAGCTCTATGGCATCTTATAAATGTGCTGTTGATACAATAACTTAATTAAAGCACTTGTTCAAAGTTCTTCAAGCCAAATTTTTTATTGATGTACTCTATTTTATTACTCAGCTTCTTAATAAAAAAATTAAGTATTGACTTGGACAACTCCCACACAGGATTCCACTCAGCAAATCTCAATTATTTGACACTGAACCCKTTATAGCTGCTCTTTGAGTGGGAYTTTTTTCRTCTTGTTTGTACACTCATTGGARAAGCTTTTTTCAGTTACTTTGATCATATTATGGTTATCTGGACATATACTTTCTTTTGAGGATTTATTTTCTTTCTGTTCTGTTTCAGCTCAAGTGAAAGTGCTGGCATTCAGTTTCCAGTGCTTATAAAAAGAAATAGCAGTGTACATGAAAACGTATCTCATAGCTGATCTTGTGAAAAATGTGAAATTGAGTCATTGGATGCAGCTGTAAGCACATGTTTAGAAATGCAAAAATAAAACCAAAACAAAACCATAAAAATTGAAATTCAGAGTTCAAAATATTCCAGAACAGCCGCTATAGTTCACTGGTTTAGGTGCAAAGGCTGCTGAGAAGTTTGTGTTGCCAGCCACTGTGGGAGAGAAAGGAAGCATGTGGAGGCCTGATAATAATATTGAAGTTTCCCAGCTCCTGTTTTTCCCCTTTCTGAGTTGCTGTTTACTTTATATGATTGTTGCATTTCCAAAACATGATTCTTAGAAGTGACTTTCTGAGACCTGGCTTAGTAAGGGGAATTTACACTTCCTACTGCTAAATTGTTATTCTTGCTTTTATTGTTAGAAAACTGAAACTGAAGACTGATGGTTATTTTCTAGAACAATTCTGAATTTTAGATTTAGATTATTTTTTTTAAATGAAGAACTGTCAAGCTCATTATTGCCTGGATACTCTTATTAAAAATATGATTGTCATTCTTATATTGGTCTCAATTTTATGTCCCAGTCTGATTCCTACTCATGGTTTTGTTTTAATTTGGTGAACTCCCTACTACAAGGATCTATAAAGCTATGTCAACTGTATGGGATGAAGGAAACAAGCGAGAAGTGGCCAAAATAAGCTAACAGTTAAATAAAGCAATATTCTTTCTTGTACAATAAAATAGTAGAAAATCCAGCAGCAGGGATATGGTGACTGTACAGGAATTAAGTCATATTCTTTTCTCAAGACGTACTATGGCAGGAAGATGAARATAAGCTTCTGTATAGATTAAATGATGTCCAACATAGCTTGAACATAGTGTAAAGTTTTGGTTCCCACAAGAACAGTTGAGCTTCTGTAATTACTGGGTCATAAGCATGTGAACTGTTGACCACATGGTCTTTCTCTGAAGTTTTGTCAAACGAGGTAACATCAGCTGTAAACTTTTAGGAAAGCAGCTGAGAGTGTGTGTGTACTGACAAGTTTCCCCGCTCCCCTCAACCCAAATGCATTTAAAACTGAGTGCAGCTGTATRTAGTAAGCAATAGCATTTTTGCAGTGTGTGTGTTGTCCACACTGCTCCTCTGCTACCAACTGGCAGTTGCACAAAACCACAAAACAGGAATCTTGTCTGTCTAATCAACAAGCCTRTGTTTATCTGTGTGCTCACCTTAGCTGAGTTTACTTAATCGATCACTTTTAACACCCAAGTGTAAACCATGTCGTTATACAATTATTTCTGCCTGTAAGAAAACAGAGCAGAATTTTACCAAATTTTTTTTAGATTGAGGATTCTCCTCACAGCTAGCTTTATTGTCTGTATCAGAGATGTTGGTTGGTTGAAGATATTGGAGACTTGATCCAAYTCAAACATGTTACTTGTTTGCAGATCCTCTCTTTTGTGGCTGTTGTTTGTGAAGAAATTGTGGAGGATTGCACCAGTTGTAGCGGACTTTACTTCTTTGAATTCATAAGCTGCAGTGCCTTTCTTTTGAGCCTCCTGATTCTGTCTGTATATTGCACTGAGATGTATGAATCACTGGGGGAAGATAAAGTGCCGAAACTGGTAAGAAAATGTATTTTTGTTAAAAAACAAACCATTTCTTCTAAATGTGGAAGAACTGTCGTGGAGTAAAAAGGCCATCCAAAATGAATCTCCCTTTCTTATCCATGCAAAGGGTAGATTAAAGTATCTTAYAGTTAACAAATGAGCAAACTTTGAGACAACTGACAACTTTTTCAAAGGTGGCTACTTGCAGGATTTTAGGAATCATGTGGAAAAGTCTTTCCACATTAATGTTACTAATACTATTGCATAGCCATCACATATATGCGTATGTATATGGAATAGAGATTCCTGCCAGCACAATACTTGTAATTTATCAGTTTACCCTGTCTATTTTTCTACTGGGTGTAGCCTACCTCCTTTTTAGCAATAATCATAACTCATTACGGTTTATGGTTTTACATTTCAGAAGATCCAACACTGAGAGAAAGTTGCTCTATGAACTCAGTAGGAACATTATTCTGTCTGATGAGAGTCCCTTCCTATTTGCCTTCAGAGCAAACAATAGGGTCTTTATGTGAGGGTACACATAAGGGAGTGTAGTAAAAGGTTTGAATGAGCACATTTACTTACAGTTTTCGAATATCCCAAATGTTTTACTTAGGGAATAAAACTACCATGGTTGTCCTGAGCTTGAATCTGATTGTGAGAAAAGGTTAGATGAAAATAATTAATTAATTAAAAATACAAAACCAGGGCAGGCTCCTTTGAACAGCTGATAATGCTGTTTAAATAGCTGATAATGTTGAATGTAATTTGGAATGTTGTTGTAAAATATATTTTCGGAAGCTTYCACTAGCATCAAAGTATCAAAACATAAGTTCACAGATAGGTTAACTCAGCTGTTGTTATGATGTTTGTTCTTTTCAGGTAACCTATCTACAATTAAATTATGTATTTTTTTATATATATACTTGCAGAATTTTTGGGCGTTGCCAGTCATAGGTGCCTGGTTTCTGATAGCATCAATAGTATTTTCTGCAAACAACTCTGGCTCTGCTGCTGAAAGTGCTGCATATGTAAGTCTTAAAATGGCAAGATTTACTTTGTATTTATTGGGTATGTTAATTTCTCTGCGCTCTAAACTTCACTCAATTTGCAGAGAAGAAACTGGGCAGGACTCAGTGTATTTTGATGTTTCAGGAGGAATTAGCTATTTCAGACCTTCCAGAAACTTACTGTAGGAAATCCAAAGAGCTGACATTCCWCAGGGTTGCTGAAAAGTTCTGTGTGCACTTGCAGCTCCCCACCTTTTGCCTGCTGCTTTGGATGTGTATTATTTCCTGTCATCTCTTGCTGTTCAACATTGTAATCTCTTGAAGTTTCCCCAGTTCTCTGATACCCSGCTTCTGAAATTTCCGGTTTTCCTCAATTGTCCTTTCATAATGCCACACCCTCATAAAGTCATTGAGAAACCCTGGCTTTTGCCAGGCATTACAGAGCACATACAGACAACACTGACTTGCACAGTCTGCAATAAGAGCAGCAGTTTCTTCCGTGACAACAGTAGTAGAGCAACAGGGCATTCAACTCTCAGGGAACACTGAGGAAGCTCAGGGCAAGGCACTGAAGGGGCTTTGGGATGCTGTGGATGTCATAATTCCCTAATCATTTGRATACTTCTTTTGAATAACCATGGAATTGTGAATATGTGAGTTTAAAAGATCAAATTCTTGAATGAGAAAAAAATTATTTGGAAAAGGTAATTCTGTTCCGCAGGCAGCATCAGTTGTTAGAGATACACACTTTTTTATAGTCATCTTTGGTGATGTAGATCTATTCAGACCTAATATAAAACCGGTTTCAAGTTTGTTTTTTTCTGGTGCAGGATAAAAAAAAAACTACTGTGATTTAATTGCTATTAATGTCAAATTGCTTTGGTCCAAACCAGTTGTGTAAAATGTAGGTAGAGTTAAAATAATGCGTATGTTCCTTTCCTTGTTTGAAAAAAGCTGCCTTCTTATCACTTCTCATCTTGGYGTGGCTAGTAACAAAATGTCATTCRCAAAACGTAATWTCATTATCTCTTGCTGACCCAGGTTCTTTTCCATTTTCTCTTCCTTCTCCTTCCATGTGTTATTCTTCATTTACTCTCTTTGATCAGCAGCTGTTTCTTGGATAAACACTCTGCTATATCGCCAATGCCATGCTGCTTTAATAACTGAATTTGGCAATTAAACTAATATATTTTTACTATTAAATGTTAATTAGAACCCAGCATAAGGTTCACACTTGATTAAAAGAAAGAAAACAATAAAAACTTCAGCAATAAATATGCTAGAATTATGATTTCTGATCTGTTTCTAATTTGAATGGAAYTATGGATTTAAGGAGGACTGTAATCTTAATATATATGTTATTAATGTATATAAAATGGTCCAGCAAATCTCTCCAAAAAATGTTAGGATTCTGTTACTGATTATGCATTTTAAAATCACATATTTCTGTTACTTTCACAGGTGTTTGGATTTTTTGCAACTTGTGCATTTGCAGGTGAATTTATTACAGAGTTAATTCTCAAACGAAAGCAAAATGTCGATGGACGCTCTGAAAATCCTGGTAACACTCCACGTACCACAGAAAATCAGCCATTGAATAAAMAAAGATAACTTCCTGAAATTGTTTCTTTTTTAATTTTTTTTTAATTGGAGCAAACTAAAATGAACTTTCAGTGGACAATAGGTAACAACTTCTGTTTCTTCATTCTAATCAATTTTGTACACATTGCTCATCACAAATTTTTATGGATTCTTAGGTCAAGTAATGGCATTTTGAGCATCATGTTCTAAGGTAACTAGTCCTGCTTAATAACTAGTCCTGCCACCTGCTGGACCAGTTAACTTCAGGATAACAGTGTACTGATTTGATTTTGACAGAGGTGACTAATAAAGGTCAATGTCCGAGGCATAAATTCTGAGCTATAGCCTAAAGATATTTCCTGGATAAATGGACCAGATGCTTCTGTTGCAAATTATAAATTAGTACAGCAGAATTTACTTTTGTACTTCCTGGTAAAACTGAATGTAAAAGGGATACCTAACTGTAACCTTACTGAAATGCCTATCCTTAAGTGTAAAGGATTTTATTTTACTATTCCTATGTCTTAGTTCYGTCTGTGGAGCTCAGTTTAATAGTGACCATTTATGGGGAGGGTAATATAAATWATATAATAAGGAGACAGTTTTGCTTCCCATGATTGTCAAAGTTTCGACTTGTATGGAATCTTCTTTCAGGTGATTTCAAAAGCTGTAACAGTTGCAGGAAGAAACTTGAAAAGCCAGCAATGAGAYGAAAAAGATAAAGAATAAATATTTTCATGAAGCAATCCCAAAAGTAACAATCTGAATATCAGTGGGAAAAACCTTACTGCACATTGGTACTACCCTGGTGAGCATTGCTTGCAAGGTTAATACCATATGCAGCTTGTTCAGGCATAGATAATGCTAAGTTTTGCCTGAATGGTTTTGAACCTCACCATTTTTGGTGTTTATAAATAGTGCAGTAGCTTGAGACTTCTTGCTGCTGACTAGCTCAGTTGGTAAAACAGGTAAATAAGCACTTGTACCCTCGATTTGGTTTAAAAGCCACAATGTGTAAGACTGCAAGGAACACTACTGATTGGGACRTGTATTGGACAGGTGACGGATGTATTAGACCAGATGTGGATGGCTGTAAAAGTAATTAAGTGCTGAAAAAACATTTTTCTGATGTCTGAGGTAAAAGCAAGASTGTTACACCTGTCTTAAGAGGAAAGCCTTCAAAAGCAGAGCAAATTGCTGTAAGCCAGGAGATGTTCAAAAATGCCAAAGCAAATGAGAAAAAAGCTGATTATGCAAAAACAATTCTTGTTTGAGTGACATTTGCCTGTGACATTTGCCATGTCTCCCAGGCATTAACTGCATTTCATCAATATCCCAGTCTGGCATGTTCCTAGTCCTGTAACCTGTTGTGGCAGCATTGAGACTAAGCCCTCCAGAAACTGGCTAAGCTGTATTTGGGAAAGGAAGAGGAAGCTGTTTTAAAACAAAGGACTRTAATAGCAGGTCAGACTTGGTTTTTTCCATTGCTGCCACTTTCTGATAAGTGTGAGTTTGTGATTTTCTCTCTCTATGAGACTTAAGCCTAACACTACACTTTGCTTGGAGGTTGTAAAATGTTGCCAGGGAGCATGAAATACCAAGTTAAAGCTGTAGCTTTGTTTCAGATCTATGCATAGAAGAGGTACTTTCCTTCATAGAATTTCCTGTGTTGTAAAGAATAAATGCTCTTTGGACTTGCTTTGTTTTTTT